AGCGAGGTCTTTGGTAGCGGGCTGGGATATCAAAGGGCCTTTTAGTAAATATGGCTGGCAGGAAGCAATAAGTAACTAACTAAGATGGCCGTTATCTGGCCTGGAGGGGGATTGTTTTTTGCTTTTTAAGAAAAAGCGATGGAAATGTTAATCACCTCATTGTCAGGCGAGAGGAACTTGGTTTTTCTTAGGAAGTCTGGGACGAGTAGATTGGAGAGTAAGAAAAAAATGTAAGGCAACGCCAAGACTTTTTTTTTTTTTGGCAAAAGAATAAGAGATGGAAGAAAAGCACAGTCACGGCTATGGTGGCCTGCTGGCTGTGGATCGCTGGCCTGGGAGAGAAATTCGGCTTTGCATCATAAAAAACAAAAATACTTGTCGCTGAAAAACCTGTTACTTAAGCAAGGTTGTGACTGCCAGACGTGCTTAGGAAGGAGCTCGCGTGGGGCTGAGGCCGTGCAGGGCACATTGGGGTGGCGGGGACACGCTGCCGGCTGCCTGCTGTGCTCTCGGGCACGCTCAGCCCCATGCGGGGCACGGGTCTCGCCCCCAGCAGCTCTCCTCTGCTCTTCCTGCAGATCCTCCAGGGCCTCGTCGATGTTCGCATCCCACACAATGATTTTTACCGGAAACGTAAGTATGTGGCGGCAGCCCCTCTCACCAGGCTTTCCAGCCGGACCCCTGGGGTGTGGGAAGGGGCTGTGCACAGCCCCCCATGTCACCTGCACATCACCTGGCCCCAGCACCCTCCTGCTGCCTTGCTGAGGGTGGGAGGGGGCAACATCATTAACAGATTTGGGGATGCACCTTGGTCGCTGGTAGCAACGCGATGCCAGCCCCATGGGTGACGGGGTCACTGCTTCACCCTCGCCTTCCCAGCTGGGTTAATTAGTACTAACACCTACAAGGAGATGGGCTTGGAGGAGGGTCTCTCTGCAGTTGGGCTTGGTGGAAGTGCAAGGACAGCCAGCTGGGGCTTTGCCCGTCACCCCTGCCTGGGTTTCCCAGTGAGGGAACGCTGACAGGGCTGCCCTGCAGGGACCCCTGCAAGAAGGGAAGGCAAAGCATCCCCCCTGTAGGACTGACTCTCCTCTTGCCCCTACTAGTGTTTTTAGAAATCGTGGATGAAAAGTCCAGGCACTCTCTCCATGAGAACATGAGCAAGATCAAAGCACCGACGCAGGTCATCTGGGGAAAGCAGGACCAGGTATGTGGCCCCCGCCGCCTCCCCCACAGGACCGCATCTCCATCTCTGCCCACATCCACCCGTGGGGCACGGCGTGGGCTTTGC